AGACAGATAGATAGATAGATAGACAGACAGATAGACAGATAGACAGATAGATAGACAGATAGATAAGATAGATAGACAGACAGACAGACAGATAGATAGACAGATAGATAAGATAGATAGATAGACAGACAGACAGACAGACAGACAGACAGACAGACAGACAGACAGATGACAGATAGATAGATAGACAGAAAGACAGAGACAGATGATAGACGACAGACAAACAGACAGAGACAGACAGACAGATGACAGACGACAGATAGATAGATAGACAGACAGACAGACAGACAGATGACAGACGACAGATAGATAGATAGACATAGATAGATAGATAGATAGATAGACAGACAGAGACAGATGATAGACAACAGATAGATAGATAGACAGACAGACAGACAGACAGACAGACAGAGAGACAGATAGACAGACAGACGATAGACAGACAGACACATGACAGATGACAGATAGATAGATAGATAGATAGACAGACAGACAGACAGCAGAGTCAGACAGATGATAGACGACAGATAGACAGACAGACAGACAGACAGACAGTCAGACAGATGATAGACGACAGATAGACAGACAGACAGACGATAGACGACAGATAGATAGACAGACAGACAGACAGATGACAGACGATAGATAGATAGACAGATAGATAGATAGATAGATAGACAAGACAGATAGACAGACAGACAGACAGAGACAGATGATAGACGACAGATAGATATATAGATATAGACAGACAGACAGACAGACAGACAGACAGATGACAGACAACAGATAGATAGACAGACAGACAGACAGATGACAGATGACAGATAGATAGATAGATAGATAGACAATACAGATAGACAGATAGACAGACAGACAGAGACAGATGATAGACGACAGATAGATAGACAGACAGAACAGACGATAGATAGATAGATAGATAGATAGATAGATAGATAGATAGATAGATAGACAGATAGACAGACAGATATTACTGAATGCCACTGATCTCTATGTCACAATGACCCGCTAAACACCACTGATGGTAATCCATGAGAAGCTTTCGAAAGATTATATCATGAGCGATATTATGCAGCTGCTGCCATGTGAAGAGCGTCTGAGGACTGTGGCGTCACATCCTGTGTGCAAGCGTCGTCTGTGCAGATCACCATTCATTGCGCTCTTCACGTAAACACTGATGCTCGCTCGGCGTCCGTCATTTAGCAACGAGCGAAAGCGGAACGCTAGCGTTCGCGTTATTATTACACCAAGGGACCACAGCGAAGCCGCCGCTTTATTGAAGCATGTAGCGAGGACGCGTCTGTGACGTCGCCGCTGCACATCGCATTACGCCACGTGCTGGTAAATCCGTCGCGTTTCGTCGCGCGCCGATTGGATTGCGATCTGTTCGCTAATAAAGCGGGACGCGGTCGTGGAATGAGGCCATTGCGCGACATATCTCCGCGCAGCAGCTGGTGTGATGGACGCTCAGCGCAGTGAAGGATGAAAAACCGCGAATATCAACAAATAGATCCGCAGGCGCTCGCGACGCCTCCGCCGCGACCTCTGCCCGAGCACATGCCCAAACGAGTCCGGAGAAAATGGGAGGTGTTTCCCGGGAAAAACCGCTTCTGCTGTGACGGACGCATGATCGTGGCGCGTCAGAGCGGCGTGCTGCCGCTCACACTGGGACTCATCCTGCTCACCAGCGGACTCTTCTTCATATTCGAGTAAGTGCTGCCTTTGGCTGGAATACATTGTGGCCACTAGCCCATCTAAGCAAGAAGTGCTGTTTGAAAGCACGAGGAACGCTGTAGTATAGGACAGGAGAGTCACAGGTGCATCTCAGGTTTACACCTGCTTCAAAATGCCCTTGAATTTGGACGTGTTTGTTAATTAAAGCTAGATACGTCTGCAAGATGTCTGTTAAAGATCTCTTGATCTGGAAAGCATCTGCTGTGTTCAGATGTCTGTAACCCTGATAGCACGCGTACATCATGGAGACGTCTATTTGACGTCTGCATCTGCATCTGGAAGATGTATCTTTTAGAGTGTTTGCTCATCTGCAATACATCTATAGGACGCCTCCTTTTAGATGTCAAATAGACGTCTATGAGATGTCTCTAAGATGTTTATGACTGAGAATGTTTGTAACACTGACATCTGAAAGACGTTTGTACACAGCAGATGCTTTACACTCCTGCTTCAAAATGCCTTTGAATTCGGACGTGTTTGTTAATTAAAGCTAGATAGCACACGTGCGTCTTTCAGATGTCTGTTTTACATGCATTCAAAATCATAAACATCTTAAAGACATCTAATAGACGTCTATTTGACATCTGATAGGAAACGTCCAATAGACATACTGCAGATGAGCAAATAGGTCTTGCAGAGGTCAAATAGACGTCTCCTTGATGTACGTGACAAATTAAAAGGACAGTTCTCTCACTTGTCATAATTTGTTCACCTTCATGTTGTTATAAAATCGCATGACTTTCGTGTGCGTAGGCTAATATAAAGATCTGTCTGTCCAAACCAGTGCTGGGTAGATTACTTGTAGTCCGTTGTATGGATTACTTGTATTCTGTTACTGATTACAAGTACATTACAAAAATTGTAAGTGTAATGTAATGCATTATACCTTTTAGGTAATAAAATCCGACTACTTTTTGATTACTTTTAAATCACTGAAAAAGAAGATATAATGAATCGTTTATTGCTATTTTGTGAAATGTGAATAATGTTATCATGTAAAGACGAGCGTTTTATGTAATCTAATCTAATTACAAATACTGACTACTGATGTTTAAAGTCTGATTATATGTAATCCAGGTTACATGTAATCAGTTACTACGCAGTTACTAAGAAATCGTATTTTGTGTTCACAGAAGAAAGAAAAGGAAATTTAAATAAATTTCTAAGTATTTGTCTGTCTGTCTGTCTCTATCTATCTATCTGTCTATCTGTCTGTCTGTCTGTCTGTCTGTCTGTCTGTCTGTCTATCTCTGTCTGTCTCTATCTGTCTCTGTCTGTCTGTGTGTATGTCTGTCTCTATCTGTGTATGTCTGTCTGTCTGTCTGTCTGTCTCTGTCTGTCTGTCTCTATCTGCCTCTGTCTGTCTGTCTGTCTCTATCTGTCTCTGTCTGTCTGTCTCTATCTGTCTCTGTCTGTCTGTCTCTATCTGTCTCTGTCTGTCTGTCTCTATCTGTCTGTCTGTCTGTCTGTCTCTATCTCTCTATCTCTCTGTCTGTCTGTCTCTATCTGTCTCTGTCTGTCTGTCTCTATCTGTCTCTGTCTGTGTGTCTATCTCTATCTATCTGTCTGTCTATCTGTCTGTCTGTCTGTCTGTCTGTCTATCTATCTATCTATCGTCTGTCTATATAAACTACATAATGAAGATAATATTGAACTGCAAGATAAACAGTAGGTTTCCACTGTGACTATGGTATATGTACCCTATATGCAGTACCTTAATTGCTCAATTTATAATAATAGTAACTAAATATACAGTAGGCATGATTAATGAACTATTATATATTCACTGGAGCAAAACGTGTAACAGTCGCCTCCCTTTTCTGATTCGTACAGTAATAGAGATTGTAGGATGAATCTGCATGTCTCTCTCGGGACATTATTTGTATTGAGGCCACTTTTAGGGACTTAATTAACAATGTATGGTATGGTTACTTAAATGTGGTTAATCAAACACCTTAATTTTAAAGCTTTTCCCTGTGGATGCAGCACATTAAGTAGAAGCCGAGTTGGATTGTAATGTTCAAATCTTTATATTATTATGTTTATTTCCAATGCTATGCGACACTTTAGACATCAGTTCGCTCGTTCTCTTTATAGGGCGTTTGTGTAGCATTAGACGTGGGATTGGGAATCCGCAGCACAGTATTTTAAAGCCTCCTCGTTCCACAATCAATCGGTGTTTTCCTAATTGAGGCGTTGTGTGGTTCCAGCTGCCCGTTCCTGGTGAAGCACCTCACCAGCTGCATCCCGGCCATCGGAGGGGTCCTGTTTGTGTTTGTGATCATCTCTCTCCTCCAGACCAGCTTCACGGATCCGGGGATTCTGCCCCGGGCCACACCAGAGGAGGCCGCAGACATCGAGAAGCAGATCGGTGAGCGAGCACACATCTCATCTGAATTACTAGTGCACTGCTTACTGCATAGTGCACTCTGTATACTGCATACAGTTATCATCCACAGAAATACATTGGATTGCTTTGCATTTTTAATCTAGGTTTGGCTAAATGTCTTTTGACAGTTGATTACATGATGAGCTAAGAATGAGATGTCTGATGTTGCTTCTGCTTCATTCGTCACTCTGGATGTGTAAGGTCAAGTCTAGGGCATTGCATTATGGGATAGAGGGCTCAGTGCAGTGTGCTCTGTTGCTGCTACATTTTGGCAAATGTATTAGGTCCTCCATATTCATGCATACAGATATAGGAAGAGAATCATGTTATTCCAAATTTTCAACTTTAAAACCAAGATTAAAAAAAAAAAGTAAATAGACTACATTGTAAAAAAAAAAAAAGATGTTTCAGTTGTTTGCTAAATGTAAGTAAATGTAACTTAAAAAGTAAGTGTTCGTGCTGCCCTAAAATTGCATTTAGTCACCTCAGATATTCAAGTTGTTACTTAGTACAACTTATTTATTTATTTCAGGTTTATTTGACAGGATCAATGCACATCAACAATACATAAATGCACAATGTGCCAGAATTAGCCAGAAGGCTATTTTGCATCTGCAGTCCCTGAACATTTAACATTTCAACTTAACATTTCAAGTTGACTAAAGTTTTAAGGCAGCACAAACACTTTGTTGAAACAACTTTATTTTTTATTTTTTACAGTGCATGAACAGAAATAACGTTGGCTGACAAATGAATGAAAATAAAAATTTAGTCATTTTTGAAATTTGATTATTGTTATTTATAGGCTGCGCCTTTCTGTTGTTTTTCTTTTTAAACATGCACTAGATGGACGTCTTTGACTGTTGACTTTGTGTCGTTTGTAGCATATATCGCATGATAAGACCTTATAAAAATGTGCCGTTCATGCTAACAAAAAAATCAACATTTAAAAAACACATCTGTAGATATGGAGCTTATAATATGACAAAACTATTTGAATTGTGTAAATTTGTGTTATTGACAAGTGTCATTTAACAAAACTGAATTTTATGTGACATTTAACATAGTTCTGAATTAGATTTTTTAAACTTGAATATTTAACATTTGAAATTTAACACAATTGAATTTATGGCAGTTTTTTTAATAGACGTGTATTTTCAAACAGCCGAAAATAATTGTGTTAAATTTCAATTTAACACAATTGAAATTGTGTTAAATTTCAAATGTTAAATAAAAAGTTAGAAAAATCAAATTCAGAACTATGTTAAATGTCACATAAAATTCAGTTTTGTTAAATGACACTTGTCAATAATTCAAATTCAAATAGTATTGTCATATTATAAGCTCCATATGTAGCCTTTTTAAAATTCCATTGCATTGCAATGTGTATTGCATTTTATATGTAAACTGTGAACAGGTAAAAAAAAAAAAAACGGTAGTTTTTGAAATGGAATCATTATTAGTTATCTGACCTGTGTCTGTGTAAAGAATGGGGCAAAGAATCCATTTGGATTAAGAATTTTGCACGAGTGCGAAAGATTTCCTAATGCTAATTTTGCGTTGGGTTCAAGTTGGTCCCGTGGATGTGCTGCATTGACAATCTGGAAGCTGCTTGGTTTGAAAGACACTTCTGTGTTGAACTTCATATATCACGTAACTATTAACAACAGACGGTCAACCTTTTTGTCTGCAAAAGTTTGTCAAAGTTTCCGCATCTTAAGACATCAAAACCGGTAAAATCTTTTACAAGTTTTCATCTTTTACAAAATTTTGTAACTTTGCAGTCACACTTACCTTTCTGTAATGACATTCTGTAGGCAAAATATAGTCGTCTCAGCAGCAGTCCATACGATCTGGAATTTCCTGTGAGGAAGAAAAAGTTGTCTTTTAAACATCTTTTTGATTTATGTGCCCTGTTTTTAGAACTCCATGTGTGAGACTGCAAATGATGCAATGTGTATGTTCACATACATTTGCAAATTCTTGCAAAATTTTTAATAATTTTTATAATCCACTTTCATGCATCTGCCATTTTAAATGCAAAAACTCAATGTGTGTGAACTGTCTCTAAGGGGTCATTAATTTGTTGCTTTTTGCTAAATGGGTGTCATCTTTTGCAGTGTTCTTAAATTAAAAGAAGCAACTTAATTATCTATAGATCTTCATTGTGTGTGTGTTTTTTTTTTTTGAGACAGTGGAGTGGAATTAAAAAAAAAAAACAGTGTCTAGAGTAGCTTTTTCTTTTCTTTTTTTCTTTCTTTTTTTTTATAACTTTGCCATGTGCCGTGGTTTTAGACCATTATGTGCCATTCGCAAGACTGCAAAAGATGCAACACATGTTTACATAGAAGCACAATGGAAAAATCAGCACAGTCGAATGACAAAACCTCATTTCGTGTGAACAGTATGTAAGTCTCTGAACTATTAGTGTGCTTTACTGTTTGTTAAGGGGATCACATTTATTTACATCTGTTGCCATCGTTATAATCACGTTAGAATAAATTTTGTGTAGGTGTGTCTCTGCTTTGATGAACTGGAACACATCTCTGTTTTCATCATGATAGCAAAATATTACAAGAAGTGAGTTTAAAATTAGTTTAGTCGGTATGAAACATAATAAGGTGGTGTGCATTTATTTAACAGATTATTTTAGTCTGTGACTTATACAACCACAAATCCAACATTAGACGCATCTTTTTTTTTCTTTTCCCTGAGACAGTTTTTTTGATTGCCTTCTTGCTTAATGCTTTTTATGTAGCATATTGTTAATGTATCTTTTTTGATGTGAAGTGGTGAAAGCAGCACCTTTAAATAACGCATTGCTCTAATGATTACACCAAATGGATTTTTTTTCAAGCAGTTCTCCCTTGCGCCAGTGGTTTTGTTTTTCTAGTGCGAGTGTTCAACTAATTTCAAAAGACAGGAAGTGTTTGAGCTGTTTAGAGCAAACTCTAAAGAGCCTTTAAACATCAGAATGAGAGTTTGGTTGTTTTCTTTAATGTTTGTTATTGAAATTCCTTCCTGACATCTCATCCTCTGCTGGAAATGTGTTTTTCTCTCCCGCAGACAACCCGACGGGCTCGTCCTCATCCTACCGCCCCCCGCCGCGCACGAAGGAGGTCGTCATCAATCAGCAGGTGGTTAAACTCAAGTATTGCTTCACCTGCAAGATCTTCCGGCCGCCGCGCACCTCCCACTGCAGCCTGTGTGACAACTGTGTGGGTGAGATGAGTTTTCAGAAGTGCGCTCGCATGCAGCAAATCTGAGGCTGCTTTTAATGATAATCATTAGTGGCGATTGCTAATGCAAGTGTCATTATCACTATTGCTCATACTAAAGGTTACAAGTTAACATTTAAATTCATGCATCTGGCAGATGCTTTTATCTAAAGCTGCTTACATTGCACTCCAGGTATGCATTATCAATTCATATCAGTTCATCGGTCTAAGTGCATTAACGTTGTTTGATGTGCAGGAGCACCGCTCAGATATAACCGGAGCAACATAGGGCTGCACTATTAATTGAAATAAAAACCGGAAATGCGATATGGCTTAGTGGGATAATCAAACTGCAAAGGCTGTAGTTTAATTCAATATATGTGCTGCGTGTTTCCGAGGGAAGAGCAGAACTGTGTTTAGTTACTCGTGAGCAGCTCATTCTCAGTGTTTTCAGCATCTCGCAGTAAATGCTGCTCCACATGAACTCAGCTCTGGGTCTGCTCTGAGTTTGAGTCTCTGTAATGCGCATATGTGAACGCAACATTGCCCATCGTCTAGAAGAGCTTGTCAACAAGTGGAGTTTTCTAATCTAAAGTGTTACCAAAACCACATACTTTGAGTGTCTGAAAATGAAAAAAAGGTTCAAAACTGTGTGGTTTTATGGCTTTAATGAGGAAAAGAAATACAGTCCCAATGAAGCATTGCAAATGACACAATCAAATATAAATCGGTTGGTTTCAACAAATGCATATGCCATTGATTAACAACACTGTAGCTCACAATAGCTCTGTCTTTAAGTGCTTGTAATTTTGTTAAAAATCAATTCCTCTATGAAGAAAATTAATAATTTTTTACTTCACTGTTGCTCTTGATTTTGTACTGTACAGGCAAACACTGCTATGTAATGTGGTTACTCTTAACATTCAATATTAATTGCCAGTGTGTTTATTGTGTGCAGTTTTCACACTCCTCTGCTTGTGCATCCATGTAGGATGTTATCTTTCTCAGATTTAGCGGTGTTATTTATAGCGTTAGGTTTATGAAGCCGGTTTGAAGCGGTGTGTGTTTTGGTTTGATCTCTGAAGTTCTCACTTGTTCTTAAGCCAGTAGCCTTTTTAATTCCTGCTGTAATAAATCACGAGCCGTGTGACGGCCCGCTGTCGTGTGTGTTTGACAGAGCGCTTCGATCATCACTGCCCCTGGGTCGGCAACTGTGTGGGAAAACGAAACTATCGCTTCTTCTACACCTTCATCGTCTCGCTGTCTTTCCTCACGGCCTTCATCTTCGGCTGTGTAACCACACACCTGGCTCTGAGTATGTGTCATTTCATTTTCCTTGACAACTCTTTGTGTATCTGTGAGCTCAAACAAATATATACGTTGCTGAGTGGTGTGTGAATTGAACATCGGTTCAGTGAGCTCATGTCACTTTCTAGTTAAGAGCTCTTTGTATATAGAGATTTGCAACCAGAGTAGTTCTAAAAAGTGACGTTAGAGACATTTACAATGTTACAAAAGATTTCTATTTCAAATAAATGCTGTAGTATCCTAAAAAAAATTCCTAATTAATCACGCTTTTCCTAAAAATGCTAATAATAAAAGATAATAATCAAATGCATTTCTTGAGCAGTAAATCAGCATATTAGAATTATTCCTGAAGGATCATGTGGCACTGAAGACTGGGGTAATGATGCTGAAAATGCAGCTTTGATCACAGGAATAAATTACATTTTACAATATATTATAATAGAAAACAGTTATTTTAAATTGTAATAATGTTTCACAATATTACTGTAAAAATTATACCAACCAAAATCTTTTGTATAATAGTGGAACTTACTTCATGAGGTGCATCGTGGGATGTGTTTGAACAGCACTGAAGGAGTTGTTGGTTTTTAAAAAAGAAAATTTGGAACAATTTAGACAAAATTAATTTCCAGTTTTGAAGCATAAACCATTTAATTTAGTTAGATGTGTCCAGATAACAGACTGGTAGTGTTTACATCAGCTCTTTTTAATCAAAGAGTTGGTTTGTTTGCACTATGCTGTATTTCTAAAGGCAAGCACAGATGCCAAATGAGATGATGAGAGATGATGCCATGTGAATCTCTTATTGGACCTAAATGGCTTAAGATCTGATAAAAGCTTTTAGTGACTAATGCTCTCTTTTATAGGGTCACAAGGAGGAAATGGGTTGGTTTTCGCTCTCCAAGCGAGTCCTGCCAGATATCCTTTCATTTGTTGTTTGAGTTCAGATGTTTAACTTGCAAAAAGTCTGTTATTGCCGTAAAGGAATGTGCTGGGTTAAATACAAGTGAAGTTCAATGAACAAGAAATGACACCGAAAATAATGTCAACTTGTGCTTCAGTTTATAAAAACAAATGAAAATTGGGTTTGTAGTAATGTGCTTACAATGTGAATCTATGGGGCAAGTCATACTGGAAAAAAAACAATGTAAAATACAGTATTTGTAATAGTATTATGTAGCTAGTATAGTCATAGCGGTTTTTATAATGCACATTTGAGTGCCTCTGAATGCAATTGTTCCAGCCACCCAAATGTCACATTTCTGCTTTGAACACTTCTGTATGGAGTACCACATATGACATGTGGGGTGGGGGATAGATATTATGGCCACATTGTATTTTTTCTTTCATTTTAGATAAATTGTTTCCATGAATTATTAATAAGTTCCTTCATTTTAGTTAAATCATGGCCGTATTGTACCGATTCATTCTCTTTAGTTTAGTTCAACTGTGGCAATGATTTAACTAAAACAAGGGAATGAATTCCCAATCCATGGCCATAATATCTGTTTTTTCCCTCTGCGTGTCATATGCAGGGCTCAACACTTTTTTGCACTTTCATTATAAGTGCAATGTTTGTACAAACCAAGAGACTAGTCAAAATGATGCTGTTGATCAAGTTATATTTAACCCAGAATATTCCTGTACTGTGTGCTGTTAATATTCATTATTGGTGCAAACTCTGAAGTTTTCCTTTACTTTCTTCACTGCTCTTGAGTTAGTGGTTTGCTTCTTTTCAGTTTGGTCCATTTTGGGCCTCTCAGGCTTCCATACATACCTGGTAGCTGCAAATCTTACTACCAATGAGGATGTAAGTGTTTTCCTTTCATAACTTAAGAGGTGTAAAAGTTGTTTTTACTTCATACACTCAAATATTTAGGCCTACATTTAAGATCATTTATATGTAATTCAAATACATATATCTACCATTTGAATCGCACTGCTTTGTCATAAATTAATACACTTTGTGATGCTTATATTTGTTAGTCATACATAAAAAAAAAAAACCCATCATGGCACAAGTGTTACATTCATAAATAATTGTTTTCAAAATTTGCGGAGCATTTCTGTATTTGGTTGTGCTGTGAGTATTTGCAGCACGTGTTGTCAAACTGATGAAGATGTTTTCTTAATTTGCTTGTGTAAAGTTGCAACAGATTGAGCTCTCTCGGCCACCATAGAAAATACATACAAATACATTATTTTTGTTATTTTTATTATTATGTAGGCCTAAATATTTCATGGATTGTATGTGTATTTTTGTGTCCGTATTACAGATTAAAGGCTCCTGGTCAGGGAAAAGTGGAAATGAGGACATTGGAAATCCTTACAGTTACAACAGCATTATCAAAAACTGCTGTTCTGTGCTCTGTGGACCCATGCCACCCAGGTGAGACGTGTGTAGATGAGTGTATATGGTCTCCAGTATACCAGTAAAAACTATATCCACAATATGAAGCCTCTGTTTATCACTGTGGCTTTGTTGTAATTCCTTTGCCTCCTCTCTTGTCTTGTCAGTTTGATTGACAGGCGAGGCTTTGTGCCCTCTGATGACTCCGTCCAGACCAGTCCTGTGGAAATCGAACTCCCGGCTGCTAAAAACGACAGAAACATGGTAGGAAGAGCAGTCACCTCAGGCCGACGACCTCCTCCTTCACCCCCGGTCGTAACCCTACAGCAACCTGCCATCTCCATTCAGAGCCACTCGACAGCCTGACTTCCTGTGTCTGATCCAAAGCCAGCATTTTCTCCTCTTGCTGCATTGTTTGATGCGTTTTGGCATGGGTCGCACCCTTCATTTAGATGTCAGACAGCATTCGGCTCGCTGGGCTGCAGCCAAGTGCAGCTGTCTCAGATTTGTTTGGTGTTGAGGATAGCCATTACGGCTGTGCCGCCTTGGTCAAAGTCACATATATAGATGAGATTTGTGTTGTTTACTTTGAGTTTGAAAGGGAAATAAATGTTTATGTACTCATTCTCTATGGTTTGGCTCCCTCGTAGATCAGTGGATTGGAGTGTATATGGTTTACAGAGCAATGGGTGTAGCCGTTGTGTTATTTTGCACAACTGTGCATCTTATTACAAAAAAAGGAAATGAAACTTTTGACTTCCTGTGACACTAGGTAGAATTCACAGTTTGTGAGCAGGAAAGACGCTGTAATTTCAGGTGATGGTGTTTATTTTTGAAGCTCTTCGATGGTTGAAAGACTTGTGCGATTATGACGCACAATGGTGCTCTTGAAAAACATCCGAGTATAAGCAAACACCTCTCACAAATGTTGTTTATTTTTCATCAATTTATTAAAGTTGTTTGTTTTTAGTATAATCTGAGCATGTAAAAAGCTGTTGTTTGTTTGTATAATTCGGGTTGTTTGGTTCAAACAAACAAGCAACTTGTTTGTTTTTAGTTTTTGTGTTTTCTTGTGGCTGTTTGTCAACTTGAATGTGCCTTGAAGTTTTTTCAGATCTTTTTGGTTTATACTCAGATGTTGAACTTGTCACCAAAACAAAAGTACCTCTCATCAGTGAACAAACAAACCAACAGCTAACAGCTCTAGTGTTTATGTACATTTCTTTGGTTGTAACGTGGCGGAAAAGTCCATGTCATCCTGTTTTGTGAAGTCCAAAATAAATAGCTGTGGTGAATATGACTTCTATTAAACTATGGAAAAATATCAGTTTGATTTACGGAAAAAAATGCAGGTAAAGTTAATAAGGTGCTAATGCATCTCTGCACAGTAACCAAAGTACACTCACTTGACGTGTGGTTGTGTCTGTGTGCATGTGCATATATTGTGAAATAGTTTGCATGTGATATGAAAATTTCCCTATGGGATTTTACTTATGAATGCATATTTTTTTTAAATGAAAAACATTGCTGACATTTTATACTTTTTAACATATCTGTGCTTGTTTATATTGAAAATGCATTTTAATGTTAAATAAATATTTTTCAAACTAAACCACAGAATTCTTGTCCTGCATGCATATTTGTTGTTTTGAGTATGTAGGTATCGAGTTGTTTGTTTACTCACAGTTGTGTATGTTTTCCTGGCATGTTCTGATGCATTAGTGCACATTAATGCTGTTACACTTATCGGTCTTCGCACATTAACCCTTGTCCTCTGTATGTGTGTGCGCATGTGTGTTTAGGAGAAAGATTGCCTGGATTTCGCCCTGTCTTGTGCCGGCTGATGGTTCAGTGGGCAGAAGTAGGGGATTGTGGGGAGGTTGGTAAGACTCGGGCGGGTGTTTGGGGCACACTGATAAACTCCTGTAGGTGGCGTCACATTGGCTTCACATGCTTTCGGTCTGCATGCTGCCTGAATGAGTGCTGCTGCCAGAGCTAATAGTGCTGATGCTCAACGGCTGATGTTTTACAGCATCAGCACACGATCAGCACTGCTCCTCCTCCTCCCATTCTGACCACTAACCACTATTTCATGTTTCGTTTGTGTATATATGTTTTGAGTCTGGTTATGTTTTGAGTTGTGTTTTCAGTCTGGTTAAGCTGTAGTATAATGCCATGGACCAAAATCTTAAAGGGAAATTCATCCAAACATAAAAGTCATGTTTATGCCCTCGTGTTGTTCCAAATCCTTCTGTGGATAACAAAAGGAGATGTTAAGCAGAATGTCCAAGCTCTTGTTTTCCATACAATGAATGCATGTTCAAGCTTTACAGTCCTTGTTCCTGTAAAGTTATCATTAAAATAAATTCAGTAAGTCAAAATGATCTATCAGTATGATCTATATTTTGAGGCCATGCGATAGCTTTGTGAGAGGAACAAAAAAAAAAACATTATTCACACTATTTTTTTTTAGAAGTGCTTTAGATCATATTATTGATTCATTATTTATTACAATATGCATCTTTAATTACACATTGTCATATGAGAATAGTCAGTAAATAGATTGACGTAAGTCATATTCTGGTTATTTCAAATTGGACATAACAGAAAATTTTGTGGTTCAGTAATGGAGTCAGACTGAGAGAGTCTTATTCGAACCACTAGGCTGATCGAAACTTTTGTAAATCTTTTTGGTTTATTCATTAAATGAACTGCTTGTTTTGTCTGAAGCTTGGAAAGCGCCACTAATTTCTTCTGTCTTGACAAAAGTAATTACTTTTGTTTTTAGGCAAACAAGCCTGAAGACGGCTAAAATTGCTCGCAAATTGCAGCCAGTCATTTGTTCATTCATATTAAATAAAAAAAATAATAAAATACAAAAAAATTTCTGCACGATAAACACCATATTTGGGAAATAAGTTAAATCATCACTCATCTTCCCGCAGGCAGTCTTTTGAGTCGGTTGGGCTGTGTGTGTTCTGGCAACTGATAGGATGTCCAGTGTTGCCAGATTGGCTCAATGATTTTAAGCACAAAAGCTCTTTAAAACCTGCACACTTCAAGAAAATCCCACCCATTACATTCAGCTCTTTCACTTTTTACTGTAGCTACAACTTATATTTATGACACTTTTACATAGTGATCACTTGAATGTACAGCTACAAATTTAAAATCTGATTCCTTATTGTGTTAAAAACCCATCACTCATGAATCATCATGTCTGCCTTCTATAGGCAAATTTGTTACGTGCCTATAAAATGTAAACATTATAAACTGCCAAACTGTTTCCAAACTAGCCCAACTTTTGTCCACCCCCCAAGCCAATTTTGACCCATACAATCAAACCCAAAACTGCCCAATCTGGCCACACTGATGATGTCAGCAACAGGGGGTGTGGCTTCTTGGGTTGTTCCACACATGAGGAGGGGCCAAGTTTGAATGTTTACAAACAACAACTTAAAATGTCTGCATAGTGGACCTTTAACCTTTAACATGCGCGGATTGCGTGGTGCTTGTTGCGTGCAGCAGGCGACACCGGTGCGCAGTGATGAGTTTTTTTTGTCACATTTGCGGTTAATTAGTCTCATTTTAGAGCCCTTGTTTTTTTGTTTTTTTTTGTGCAGCACATCTACTGCTAAACATCTCCTTTAATGTATGGGAGATAAAAAAAAAGATACGTTTTAAACAACATGAGGGTGAGTGCATAACCATATAATTAAAATTTTTCAGTGAAATGCCCTTTAAGATAGTATTTTGTCTATTCTGTTCTGATTTGACTCCTTATCTGTAAGTCTCATGATTTTGCTGCTGTTAATTTCCATTGTTCTCTCCTAGCAGAATTTATACGAGCACTTCAATATGACTCAGTTGGTCATATTTAGTTCTATATAGCAGAAGAAGAATCATCTGCATGAGTCATCAGTGACGCTGATATCTGATTGGCTGTAGCTTTACTGCTCAGCTATATAAGCTTTTCCTTTTAAACCACCTCAAAATATTTTACTTCCACTCTTTCTAACGTGAATCTACTTCATTTTTTGTCTTTGTCACACCCATTCCTTTATCCCTGGTTCTTCATTACCATCATGACCCTCCATCTGTCTTTCCCATCTCCCTCCACAGTGCACACAGGGAACCAAAGTTCTGCTGGAAACGGCCTCTCGATCTCCTCTCCTCACAAGCTCCTGTCCGCAGGCCAAACCTCAAACTGTGCCGGCCGTCTTGGAGACACTTCCAGAGATCGTCCCGTCACCTGCCCCCGAGCCGCCCAAGACCTCTGGAGGACGCCAGTCGACCAACACCCCTCACAAACATCACTCCCACCACAGATCCAAGGCAAAACAAACCACTCATCACACCCACAAGACCTCCAACTCCTCTCCAAGACCTTATCACAGCCACAGTTCAAGACGGAAAGACTCCAAGAACAGAGACCCAAAATTCAGTTCTCTGCGCTGAGCAATCGGACCTGCAACGTCCTGTGATGGTGCATGTTAATGCATTTCTTGGATTATTTGAATTTGTCCTCATGAGATTGATTGATTGATTCATCTAGTTTTGGTTGTGACTTCAAACAATCAGGTATGATATTCCCAGAAAGATCTCCAGGTTTACGAAACTGGCGGCTGTATTATTCTTCTGTAGATGAATACCATCAACCCTGCAACCTGGAGAGCAAATATGAAGTATGGACTTCCGTTAACAGATTGATGACTGGAAAATATATATATTTATTCGATATAAACAAGCACAAAGGTCTCAAGAGTGAACTGCAGAGCAATTGCCTTTAAGACAATTGCCAATCTTAACAGTGAGTTCCAAAATGAGCTTCATCAGAACAGCAATAATGGAACAAGAACACTGTCGTCCTCAATGTGGACATGAACTCTGGGATCCATTTCTTTGGCCTCTTTTAGGTCTCATTGGGGATGCATTGGTCAAGCTTCAATAAGCAAAGAACCAATCGTCTTTATGCAAAAAATAAGAGCATGCCTGGAGAATATAGCTCACAATCATTCTTCATCCGTCATAGGGCTGCACGATGAGTTGTATTATAACCATGATCATGGTTTCTGTCCCTCTCGAATTTTTGATAATTGCCCCTCTTCGAAAAAGTTTGCGATATTTGCCCACTGGTAATTTGTCCTGAAAACGTTTCAGTTTAAGTTGTCATTTGCGTTATCGTACATTGGTATCAAGACTCCACTAGCATTCATTGTTGCGGTTGCCAGATGTCAAGAGTTTAAATCCCCCCCAATCATAGCTCTTTTCATGAATTGATACATTTTCTGACCAGTGGTTTGCTTAATCAGTGTTGCCAACTTAGCGACTTTGTCACTAGATTTATCAACTTTTCAGACCTTATTAGCGATTAGCTTTTTTTTTTTTTTTTAAATGTCACAATGCATTTCTATTACAGATTTGCGCAAATCTTTTGCGATATTACGATATAGAAAAAACTGTTGCGAAATGACGGTGTTTCCATTAACCAATGTTATGTGACTAAAACATCATTTTTTCCTCTCGCGATAAGTCATGGCGACGGATGTTGATAGGTTTATGTATATTGTAGCCACCGCACTAGCCATTATTTTTAGAAGGAGACAGAGGCGTTATCTTTAGCGAAGCATCATGTGACTTTTATGTACGCCATGTGACCTGTAAATGCGAAAAACTTTCCATTGGAGTTTTGCGAAATATTCCTTTTTCGAATTGCTTGAAAAACAATCTCATGCGAGTGTATAAAATGTTTGCGATACATGGGAGTTTTTGCGTAATTGACGTGTTTCCATTGAGCTTCTTTTCAATTTTCAATTTCAGTTTGCGCAATTTGAAGGGTAATGAAAATGCAGCTACTATTGACAAATCTAGCGACTTTTTGGACAGACTTTAGCTACTTTCAGAGACTACTTTCAATTGAAAATAATGGGCAACACTAATCTTCCCAACTAGGCAACCATTCACACACGCTTTCTCTACGTTACGGAAAAAAGCACTTTTGAGCTGAAAGCACCGGTTTAGCGATCTCTGAGATATTCTGCTCAAATAAAAGTTGTGTTTTCTTTCAGGCGGTCGTTTGTGCTGTTTGCAGCAGCTAAATCTGCAAGGAAACCATGTGAGTTGACATTCTCTTGATTTGTGCTTAAATGAAAGTGCAATAATTCTGATGAAATGTAAAAAAGAGAAAAAGACAATATTATATTGTTGAGTAAAATAATCGCGATCAACCATTTCACCATTATCATGCAGCCCTGATCCATCATGTTGAACAAGAATCTTCTCACCAGTAATTCATTATTTTCCCAAAGGACTTCAGCATGATTTTGTAACATATTGTGTTTGAACATGGTATTAAGTGTGCACAAGTACCTGCTAATGTGGATGAGATGAAGCCTCCGAGTTCCCTGATCACCGTGTTGAAGATCTAGTTGAAAAGTTAACTGGTTAATCTGAGTGTTTCTCTAAACCTCGTCAAGTCTGCTGTTCTTCATGTTGCATTCCTGGCCCACTGCTGTCTATCAGTAATTAGTAAAGGAACAGTCTTAATGCACTAACTCTCAATGCAGCAATACTGTAATGTTTTAGTTCTTCATCGTTGGACTCGTGCTACTGTATGCGTGGACACTTTGTGTTCGAATGGGAATGTGGGTGTTGTATTGTTATCCAGGTTTTGACTTAATATGCAAACTGAATGTTATTTATGAATGCTGAAATTGATCCTCTGTTTCTCAAGACCTCTGCAACATTTGCACAAATAAATACAAAGTACTAACAGGCCAGTCTGGAGTTTGTCATGCATTCTGCTGCCTTATAAACGTCAGACGTGGTGCACATACATTTTCTAGTGTGCTTTTGAATGCCAGAGTAAGTGTGAGGAAATATGTGTCATTACCATGTGAGAGGAAATATCACTTGGCAATTCTGATATTCAGGATTTATGGATTTAAAAGTGTACTAGAGCTATGATCAGAACAGAATGTTAGCCTGCTGCATACTAACCCTTGTGAAAAAGAAGTACACTTTGGCATACTTTTAAAAATAAATATTCTACACTAAATACAGACCAAATGTTATGCCTTGAGACAATTATAGGCTGCATTTAAAAATGTATTATAGTTTACGTTTATATTAACCCTCTGGTGCTCCTTATTTGGGAGTCACACTTGTGGTCTTCAGTCAAAAGTGACCGGAAACCCCAGTAAAATCAATGTAACATATTTTTGTTAAATAGTATTTTTTTATTTTGTATTTTGAAATAATTTAATGGTACTAATGAATATTGAATTATGAATAATGAATGGTCTTCAGTCAAAAGTGACCGGAAACCCCAGTAAAATCAATGTAACATATTTTTGTTAAATAGTATTTTTTTATTTTGTATTTTGAAATAATGTAATGGTACTAATTAATATTTATGCAACAATTATGATCAATTTCGTCCCATTGAAAATAATATATATATTTTTTTTGTACAAAATATTTTTTATATTACTTTTCAATTAATGCAGTATTTCATGTTAAAATAGAGTCAATGCCTTTAAAATCCAATTTGTTAAAAATCCAAATTAGTGCCATCTGGTGGGAGTAAAAAAAGAAAAACATCTGCAATTCTATGTTTGAATTATTACTACTACAGTCAAACCTGAACACAGAGAAAGCATTTTGTTACACAACACATTAAAATTCTATAAAAATTTAACAAAAATGAACAGAAATGTTTCATCGGAGATTAATCCTTCTGGGTTTGATCTGATTTCAATCTCTTATTTCAGTTTTCTGACTCGTTCTGGCTATATGTTAATAGCCATACCAATTCATTTGAGTGTGTATAATTGTGTATGTATGTGTGTGTGTGTGTGAGGGGGTGTGTCTTTT